TCCGTTAATTATGCGAGCAGATGGAACTTCGTAAATGGAAATCGCATCCCTTGACCATTTTCCAGGGTTTTGATGATTACATCGATAAGATTATACGGCCGGAGAAACGAGTTCTTCAGCTACCCTGAAAGTAGTATTCTAATTTCAAAGATTACGAAGAGGGGGTGCCGAGATCCAGTGCCGTTTCGTCGAATCGTTTATCAATTGTTCCATTTAGATTATCGCTATTTCTATTTACAAAACTTAACAACCTTCGATCGAATTTATTATTAATCATCCAAAAACTATATACTATAACTAATTCTAAGTGAATGAGAAATAATATCAACGCGACAAATCTACTAAACTCTCTTATTAATGCAACTACAACAAGTAGAGGAAGAAGAAAATCAAACTTATTAATCAACAATCAATGAAGAGACAGAGAGATATCGGGAATATCGATTGAAATGATAAGTAGTAGTAGTAAAAACGATGGAATATTCGTGAAGGCCAATATCCCCCTATCGAGGAAGGTTGCGCAATAATCGAGGTGTCGTCGAATTATGAAACGAAACTGGGGAGGGGAGGAAGGGAAGAAGAGGAAGAGGAAGAGAAGGAAGGAAGCGGACTCGCCGGTATTTTGCATCGCGATTATTTCGAATCGAAGCCATCCGCAATGGCTATAAAGGGAGCGCAAGGTGTCTGTTTCAATAAAGAAAGGAATATCGAGTGGCAGGGCGCGGACATAAATTTCCAAGTGTACCTAATTGAAAGGGGAAAGGGAACGCGGAGGCGCGAGAGAAAACGAACTCGTGGGATTCGGGGTGGGGAAGGAGAGAATGGACGGAGACAGGAAACGAGAGGAATCTGTGAGAGGAGAAGGAGGAGAAGCGGGCTCGAGAATATGTTAAACGGCTCGAGAATAGCCGGTTCGGGTTCTCCAAATAAACGATGAGGGCACGCACGGTAGCTTTGAAGAAACAAGATTCCTCGTGTCGAACTAACTTACGATTCTCGCGCCTCCTCTTTGCCAAATCGTTCCCCAGTTATCTTTTATCTTTGGAGCTTCGTCATTCGCGGAGGAAGATGTTCTAATCTTCCTCCCTCCTCAATTTAATGTTCGTTCCACTTTTTCCCAATACTTGGAACAGAAATTGAAACGTAACTTCCTGCTTCTTCCTTGTTGTGTTTTCGAAGTTTTTGGTTCGAGGTATTGAGAAATATTTTTGACGAAATTCATATTTGTCGCTTCTTCGAGATACGTGGGATGGAAGAGAATGTGAATGTGGATGAAGAAAACGTTTTCAATCGATGAATTTAGATATACATAGTCGAGTTGATATGATAATAAGCCGTTTTTTAACTTTGTATCTATTTTTATTCAAACGTACGTTTGAAATTGTAATCGTTTTTCTATCTAAAAATCTCTATTAACGCTTTTATGATTTGACCATTTCTGTATTGAATTTCCAACGTCCTTTATTGAAAGTTCAGTACTATCGGTTTTTGATTAATTTAGAAATTGCGCGAGATGTACCGCAAAATCGATACACTGCCTATAGGATTAAAGGATTCTTTCAATTATCGATAATTAGAATTTCCGTACAATTTTATACTCGATAACTCGATAACTTTTTCTATCTCTCTCGATATTTCTTTTATTTATTCTGTCATTGCCATACATACAAAGAGAAGAGATTCACACATACAACAATTAACACCGCGTGATAATTAAAATTAGATTGTTCTTGATTTCGTTTTAAAATTTATGTTAACATGGAAGGTACGTAAGCAGGTGGAACTGCTCGACAGAGTTTATTTGACTTCAGCATACGGAATCTCCTTCTTCTTCTTCTTCTTCTTCTTCGTAAACCAACATTTTTCACAATTCTTTCACAATTCTTTTCGAACTCATTTGATAAATGTTTCTTTTAACAACGAACGTATCCCAATCTTCGCTATGTAAAAAAATATCGTAAAAGTACAAACTTCAAGTTACTTACACTTGTAAAAAATCAAACTATTTACACCAAAATCTTGTAAAAATGAATTAAATAATACATCTTCTTAGTGGGACGCGAGTAAGAATATTATAAATAAAGATTGATTCGTTACCATTCGTGGAAAGGATAAAAACGTCACCGATCGTTTCCAGGTAAAAAGAAATTTCCATCTGATCCATCCTGCTGCCCGGCATGCGGAGTGACCGTGAGGCCGCAGGAGCTCGAGCAACATTTCGCCCAGGAACTCGACAGACTTTACAAGATATCCTCGGCTTCCTCTCGGGCGCGAGCTTCAAGGTCGAGCTTGCCACCCGGTCATCCCCAGGATCATCCTCACGGGCCGATGCTCCATGCACCCTCGACCGCCGATGGCACGCCTCATGGAAGATGGGAGACTTACAAAAGGATCAAGGCCAATAGACAGGTGAGCATCCGTCCGAAATACGACGTCAAATTCGTGGATGCGCAATCCGCGTATTTGTTTCGGGATCGAGAAATAAAATAAGGGGAGGGGAAAGAGAGAATGATAAAATTTTCGAACGAAGAATTGCATCCATGCAGATATGCACCTGTATTTTTTTCTTTTTTTTTCGAAATCTTTTGAAAACGTGAGGTTTGGAATGTGTACAGGCTAGGATCCGCGTGAAGAACCGGAAACGGAAAGCGGACGAGCCATCCTGCCCCGTGTGCAGCGAGAGGCTATCCGGCACGCCCGAGGAATTGAACCAGCACGTGGAGAGATGCTTAAACAAACACAATAACGGAAATCCTGCCGGCCAAAACAATTTGGACGAGGAGGAGGTCGACGTGGAGGGCGATGCGGAAACTTTCGAGGAATACGAGTGGGCCGGGCAGAGAAGAGTGCGAGCATCGTCCATGCTCGTAGGAGGATTTTCTGGTAAGTTTATATTGATAATATAACATCAAATAAAATATATCTTCCCCGTAGACATACGAGCTATATCTATATTTTCTATATTCTCCTATATTCAAATGCTGAAAATATCGCGCTGGCAATCTTGTTACACGTACGAATAATCAAATGCTATATTAAATTATTTCGATTGCATTGCATTATTACACATTTACGTGTACGATATTCATTAACGCTGTCTTTTTTCATTTTTCAAACGAATAGTTGACTGTTTCTCGATGCTACTTGTGCGCCGCCCACGATCGATAAAATTTTTAACTTCTTTCGAGATCTTTACTTTATAAGCAGAGCGCTTTGCGAAGAAAATTGTATCCGAAAGATATATATTGGAATTATATATTGGACGAAAAGGAAAAAAGAAAGAAGAAATATTTAATTTACGACAAATCGCGTAGCCGCAGGTTTGGCGACGTCGTCGAGCAATCGTTCGTCGGCCGGTGGCAACAGTGGATCGAATCACCAGGAGGAGGAGGACGTGGATCTGGTGGTCGACGGGGACGACGCGGCCGAGTTTGGGCCGGCACAGTATTCCGAGGCCGATGTGGTCGCGCCTCGCATGGACGGGACGCCGAGGGAGCAGAAGGAGAGAGACGCCCTTCGGGAAGCGGTGATATCGCCGAACGCGCCCAACACGCCCCACACGCCCGAGCAAATCGGCCAAGGTTTGGTGGAGGTGAAGCCTGAACCGGGGACGACGACCCCTCTCGGCCAGAGCGAGCAGGACGAGGGCGTCTCGACGTCGCCCAGAAGGGACGGCGACACGCCGGTGATCGAGGCGCTGAGAGGAAGGATTCGGGAACTCGAGGCGGAAATGCGCGGCCAACCGTTCAAATGTCTCATTTGCATGGTGAGTTTTTTTCTTCTTTTTCTCCTTTTTTGTTCTCTCCTTTGGAAAATTTCGAAAATGAAAATTTCGATTTTCATTTTCGTTTCGTTTTTCGTAATTCGTTCGAACTGAGCGGTAAGAATAATCGTACGCCGTACTACTTGTCGATTGAAGATAGCGTGTGTGATTCGTAGGAGCAATATAAGAAACCGGTGACTTCTGTCTGCTGCTGGCACGTGCATTGCGAGCAATGTTGGTTACACACGTTGGTAAGTGTAAACGAGTATATTTCTTCTTAAAAGTATGTTCTCTTTTTCTTCTTAATCTAAAGAAAATTCTCGAATTTAATATCAAACAATTGTTAGAAATAATTGAAAATTCATCACTCTGAGAATCTTAGAATCGATGAAATCTTGAATTTGAAGTGAAAAGTAAAAAAAATGTTTAAACGTGTAATATTCTTTGGGGCACGAAAATCTTTGAAAATGTAACGAATTGAAATCAGAATTGAGAAGAATTCTCAACCTTTCAGGGTGCGAAAAAGCTGTGTCCACAGTGCAACATGATAACGTCGCCTTCAGATTTGCGACGTATCTACATGTGAAGGGAGTTGCCAAACAGGAAGCCGTTGGTTCCCGTGTTGTTCGTAGAAAAAAATCGATCGTGAAAAAAAAAAGAAAAAGAAAAAGAAAGAAAAAAAGAAAATGTTTCAAAATGTTTCACACAATCGTGTAAATATCTGTATATATTTATGCGTCACGTTAAATTAAACTCCTTTTAGATTTACCACGTACGGATACGCACTGTAGCGTTAGTAAATTAAGCCGTGAAAGGCGCGCGTGAATGATGTCCCGATCGAACCGAGTCAAGCAATGTCGATCATGCTTTTATCATTCGTCACGCAGACCAATTTTCATTGTACTATAACATATATATACATATATATATATATA